GCCAGGCCCAAAGAGTGGTGGTAAATGGAGTGACTGGCCCCCAGCTGGATTTAACAAGTGGTGCTCCCCAGGGCTCAGTGTTGGGGCCAGTCCTGTTTAAAATCTTTATCAGTGATCTGGATGAAGGGATCAAGTGCACCCTCAGTAAGTTCACAGATGACACCAAGCTGGGTGGAGGTGTTGATTTGCTGGAGGGTAGGAAGGCTCTGCAGAGGGACCTGGACAGGTTGGATCAATGGGTGGCAACCAACTGTACGAGGTTCAACAAGGACAAGTGTCGGGTCCTGCATCTGGGTCACAACAACCCCATGCAGTGCTACAGGCTTGGGAAGAGTAGCGGGAAAGCTGCCTGGCAGGAAAGGACCTGGGGGTGTTGGTCAACAGCCAGCTGAACATGAGCCAGCAGTGTGCCCAGGTGGCCAAGAAGATCTCAGAGGTCTTCTCCAACCAGGCAATTCTATGATTCTATGAAAAAAGTTGCACTACATAGTAGATCCCCAAGCTTCAAAATTCCTATTTCCTTTCCAGTTCCCTTTCTGATCACAACCACAACAAATTCAAATCAATCTTTAATGCATATTACAATGGCATACAGTTTGGGTAAGAAATTTGGAACAAATGAAAAATGCAAGATAGCAAATTTGTGTTTACTTTGCTCACTCCTGGAAAGTCTGCAGTCTGTAAGTTTTCCAGGCTTAACAAGCTCACAAAATTCAGTGCAAATTGTAATTCTCATTTTTCTCACTGTCCCTAATAAACAGGGGAGAGACTTACAAAGAATTTAAAACCATTATGCAAAAAACAACCAGTTATACACAGGCACTACCTATTGATTATATCCCTACAGATTTTTAAACCAAGTACTCCTCAACAAAAATGAATATACTTGGAAACAGAAGTTTAAAGACTGCATGATATACCGAATATCACAGACTGGGCACAGTCCTATGTCATCAGCCATGACTTCTGGAAGAAAGCAAGCAGAGATGAAATGGGGATAGAAAAAACTAGTCCTTATTCAGGAAGTGGAAGAAAGTAGATATGGAAGGAACAGATTTTATTGTTTTACAGTCTGGAAAGACTCCTGCTATGACTCCTGCGTTACGGAGCAATTCGGAAACAGTGCAAGTTTAGGAAGACAAGTAGACAAAGTTATCCATTCAGCATAACACTGGTAAGAATCAACCTGATGGGTTGAGAATTAGCAAGAACTTTGACATCAACAGTCTCAAGTTAGTGCTGAATTGCTTTTGTTAAGAAGACTCAAAGGGTTTGAAAACCCTTAACATGCAGTTAGTACGTCCTAGCAGCCTTAATGCCGTTTCCTTAAAAACAACCCTAACAAATTTCAGAGTGAAATAGGAAACATTTCAATCTTTAATAGACAACAGAATAATATTTTCAGATCATTCCAAGGTAACAGTAGCAGATCTGAGTTGTGGGTTTTGAGTACATTACATGTACTTTTGTATACTGTCAGGAGCTGGAAGACCTTTTCTAAAGTTTAAGCTTCAATTTGTTCTCACTTTCTAAGGTTCCAAGTTTAACTGCTAGGATTATATATTCACATGCAAGGTCCTCAAACTTAGCTCAGGTTAATGCTTCCTTTCAGTGGTCAAATGCTAAGCAAACAAACACATTAGCAAAGGAAGCAACTACTCAGCAATAAAGCAATCAACAGAAGAAGTGATGTCAGAATCCATATTTAAGATTCACATTAACAAGGGCAAATGCAACTATGACAGAAATGATGACTACATTCAACAAGATGAGGTAACAAACAGGAAAACAAGTTCAAACACAAGATAAGCCTAAATCTAAACAAGAATGGAATCATGTAGAGGAAAGGGAAGAGCACAGATACAAATAGCACAAAATCTACTCAAAAGTTTAAGCACAGAGGGATGTTAAAATGATAAATAATGGCTTTGCATTTATATAGCACCATCCATCCAAACAAGACAAAGCGCTTTACAAATATTAATGAACTGAGCCACAGTGTCTTCAAAGGTATACAAATATTCAATTTGAAGTGTGGTGTAACAGTACTCTAAAGAACACTACTGACATCTTAATTGGTTCTTTCCCATGCAGGCATTCCCCTATGAAACATCACAAGTATCCTTGTTCTAACCTATTTAAATATTCCATGACACATGCTACACTTTTATACTCTAGAAGAAAGAAGACTCAAGAGGTATATAATCAGTGTCTGGAAATACTTATACACTAACAATGGAATGACAGAAAATTACTCCTATTCTCAAATGTCAGAATGCAGGAATGGTCTACATTTCTAAGAAAAAGCATGTTTAACCAGATATTGCAGCAAAAGCTTTCCATGGTTAAGTAGCAGCAGCACTAGAAAAAAAAAAAAAAACACTATCAAGGAATAATTCTGACATTAGCACTGCTCATATTCAGAATAACTTTACTTAAAATAATTACATCCTAACAATTCTATATGAAATTAGAGGATTCAGCCTGTACCTTCTGGCCCATCTATCATTCTGCAGTATTAGAATCACTCTGAAGAGAAAAAAAAGCAGGAAGAGACAAGACAATGAGCCTTACCCTCTGAGCTTTTGCAAGTTCTTCTTTCAATCTTTCATAGCCCTTTTCTCTTACTTCCAGTACAGACGGGCTTCGTAAGTGAGATAAACTGTCTGTACTCAACCCAAAAATATCTTCATTTCCTTCAGCAACATCTGCTACTGTAGCACCCTGCAAAAACTCTCTCTCTGCATTATTGCTCTCCTTTCTGGAATTACTGTGACTGAATGACCCACCCTGGGGTCCAGAGGTAGAACAAAGCGCTGCGTCGGTAACATTGATGCTGTAAAGAGAGTGATATTTTTTTTTTAATTTACATAATACATTAGGAAACATTTTAGAAATGGCAGCAGCGGTATTGAACGTACCATTACAGACACAATTTAATAGTACAACATTGTAAGTAATATATAAAAACATTGTAAGTAATATTTAAAATTATTGTAAGTAATATTTAAAATTATTGTAAGTAATATTTAAAATTATATCTTTGGTAAAGCAAGCAGTATAAACTGCTTGTTGTTTGATGCAACAAACATCAGCAATTGACATAAAAAGACACACAGAACTTACCTGACAGCTGATGCTTCTCCACAATTCAGTTGTCTGGGAGATGAATAAACAGGCTGTGTGGGAAGGTCAGAAACATTTAACGCGTTGGGTTGGATTGGTGTGGAGGACACAACAGAAGGATGTGGTCGGTAGATAACACTGGGTGAGGTAGTTTGTTCCTGAGTCCCTGGCTCATTTACTCCAAGAAGATCTGGTGTAGTAGGCGAAGCGAGGTTCACTTCATGAAAGCCTTCCAAGGGGTCACTGGCCATAATAAAAGCCTCATCATATGAAACCCTGAATTAAATAACCACATTATCAGAAAGCAAACAGGAAATATTTAATTATATCTGAAAACTATTTGAATTTAGAAAACACTCAGAGAAATACGTTCTGAATACTACATGATACAATGGAAACTGTATCTTGTAGAAATATCAACTTCAACCACAAAAAATGTCTTTTCCACACATTGGACTATTGAGTCTAGAAGATCTAATAGCAGACTCTGCATCTAAATATGGTGATGAAATCAAGAACAGGCTCTATATCATAAAATTAATTCACCTTTAATGCAGCCCAGAACTGTTTTGTATCAAAACACAAATACATTGCATTCATAGAAGAGGGGGAACCTGGGAAACAGTAAGGAGAAAAAAAAAACAAATCCCCTCCCACACACAAAATAGCTTAAAACCTTTTTTTAAAAATTAAAGTTTCCACTTTTAATCTCAGTGAAGTGAATAATCTAGAGACAGAAATCAGTGAACCTTTAAATAAAATGCAATCCATAGCAGTTTTGGTTAAAATATAAATCTGATCTTGTAACAGTTCACTGAAATGATAGAATTAGCCATAAGACTTCTCATGAATTACAATGATGTGTATGTAACACATCACATGATTAAGTGAAAATAATAATTGTGAATAAGTATCATACTTACATTACAGGTTAAAGTGTACCATGAATTGGCAATTTAACTGTCAGTAGCTTTTAATTTTATTTCTATTTTTATTTTTTTAAATTCCTCCTGTTTTTCATAAGATCAAGACAAAACAAGTACGACACATTAATTTTACAGGTCCCAATAAAAAGCTCCTGTTTTCCAGCAGTTTATCATCAAAGATCACAAAAAATCTTTGCATGATTCAAAACTATAAATTGAAAGAAGTATGGAGAAATTTGTGAAGGAATTACTTAGCAGTGATTATTCACTGCAAAAAACATTTTCCATGTTACATAAACAAAGAAGAGAAAAAATTAAGGCTTCACAAAGGTACTTAACATGCAAAAAAAGAACTGTAGCATCTAAACTAAATAATAAAATGCATTTTACAGATACATCTGCTCCGGTTCTTACAACCAAAAAGACAAGGTAGAGAGAAGATGTAGAAACTTGACAGTCATAACCATGAAGAGGTGATGCCATCTACTTACATGTACATTCAGTTCATTAGCTACTTCATAAAACACACAGAAAATACCAAGAATGGAATCCCCAAATTAGCATATGCAGTAATTTTAAGTTACATCATACTTTTTGGTCATTTTAAACTCAAAGAACACTGTTCAAAACTGTTTTGTGTCTCAAGTATTGTACTGAGTGTGTATAGATCCATGTTAAGCAAGTTGCTTTACCATATTATCCGGTATATGCAGAAGAAATTAATTTGTTCAGACAGCAAGAATATGTTATTAATTTTACTCTGTTGCTGTTAATTGTTTCCACAAAAAAATCAACCACCTCTAGAAACTGCCCAGATTTGAGGGACAAAAAGGATTTTACAGGAATAAAAAGGGATGCTTGGGGTTTGTTTTTTTCCTGTTTTCTGCAGAATTTTTTTTTTTATTTTGAACTATTCACAGCAGTTGCACAAACATGATTTACACAGAAAAACACTGTCACAGTTTTGTGTTTTGGAGCCTTTTTACCATAGCACAGAGATGAACAGCTTATTTTTGAGCTTAAGTTTGAAAAATATTCTTGTTTGTTTTCCCTATAGTTCTCCTGAATTATTACAAGCTTCCTAATTACATGTTGACTGTTGAGTCAACAAATTAAAATGGAGGGACTGCCATAGCTACAGGACATTGCTTCAAGGTTAAATCTCAAAAATGTTTTCAGCTCTACAGTGCAACTATTACAAATCACTGTTTTATATTTAATAAGCTAAATTACTGCCATCTTGGAAAAAATAAAATTGTAGAAACAGTCCTTTCAAGTTCATCAGTCCAGCTGAAAAATATCCATCTCACCAGTTGCAAAGTCAGGCTCACATCTACACAAACACATTAATTTTCATTGTTCCCATCACTCTCCTCTTTTCCAACCACCAAGTAAGCCATACCCAATACTATTATACTGGAAACGCTGCCAAGACGTCTCTTCACATTCCCAATTCTTTGGATTCCAGTCTTCACAATTAACAGAAGATGCAGGCTCCTGACCAGGGATGTAGCAAGGCTGCCTGGATGCCTTGCCTTTTCTATGCCTACAGCACCTAGGAAAGGGCACCAAAAACCACTTAAGAGAAGCAAAGACTGAGAACACAGTTGAGAGCAAAATGGGAACAACTTCTGCCACGTCTTCCCTCTGTTGACTGGCTTCCATTTCAAGTCTGAAAGGCACGTTCACAGTTTCACTGAAAACTCACAATCTGAGTTGATGTTCAATAGTGGTTCCACAGTACTTCATATCATCAGTACCACTGGTTGTTTTCAGTTGCATACCCCTTTGGACTGGATTTTCATACGAAAGTTCTTTTTTCCCCAAAACTGATTTTTAAAAAAACTATTTAACCATTTCCAAGAAAAAAGGCTCAGGAAAAACTTATTTGTCAGTTTTCAATGTATTTTACTATTTCTGTACAAATCTTGGGGCTGTTTGGGGCAAATACTTTAAGTACATCAAATAAGCAATAGGCTCAGAGATGCACCATTCCATATCTTTACGATAATTTACATAAATTCAGCTACATTATGAAGTGCAGAAAGTCACACTGGCTCACACTGAGAACAATTATTAGAAGCTTGCTTATTATCTTCCAAATGTTCAAATGCATTTCTAGCTTCCCCTCCAGACCATAACATCAATCTATGATAAGCAAATTAGTGGGGGTTCTTTTAAAAAATAAAAAATATCTATCCTACCTACATGCTCCTACTCCTATGAGTTACCCCTTTCCTACAGCTTTTCTGTCTAACCTGCCTAAATCCTGTAGTGGTTTTAATAGTAAAAAAAAAAAAGCTATGGATTTTATTTACAAGACTATCACTCTGCTTATACACTGAACATCAACCTCAACCTAAACAGACAGGATAGATTTCTGAGTAAATAAATCCATGTATGTCTTCTCAGTTATCAAAGGAAAAAAAAAAAAAAAAAGAAAGAAAGAAAAAAAGCTCTTTCCTTTCTGATACAGTAAGTAAAAAAGTTATTCCTGGAAGAGCTGAAAATAAAGTCCCTCAGCTAAACTCTTCCCATAGCCTGTCAAACAGGCATTTGCAAGCATGCCATCTGCATAAAACACTTTCCATTCACAACGTTCTTCTTTCCTAGCGTTACTTCTCACTAGCAGCAAGCAGGCAGAAGCTGGGCACACCAGCCACACAAGACAAAGAAACCCGTATCAAATACCTCGGTTTCAAGACTCACCAACACCATTAAGTTGTTAGCACGGTATCAGCTGAACACACATTAAGCATTAATGAAACCAAACGTACATGCAAAAAGCTAGGTAGTCCTAAAAAGACAAGCTCTCTTTTGGGAAAGAGCACTTGAAAGTAACAGTAAACAACAGGAGGGGAAAACCCCACATTACATTTCAGTGTAATTAAAGATTACAGGCTTGGTTAAGGCTGGTGGGGACAGTTCATATTATTGACTAAGGCAGCAATGAACAGCCTTGCTGTGAAGGAACAAGGAGCGCATGGCGAGAAGAGAGCTTTACTAGGAGCCAAGCTGACAGTCTGTAAAAAAACCTCAGAGTTGACACAGCACTCTTTAGTAGTAATTCTGCTACTGTGAACAAAAGCTGATATTCTGACATTTCAGGGCAGCACGTTTATTAAACAAAATCATGGATTTTCTCAATATTTTTCCTACCACATCAATATATGGTGAAAGCTTGGAATCACATTAATGCCTACCAAATACACAATTATTTTTGTCTTAGTTGATAATACGCAATTTGGATGACGTACAAAATTCAAGTACTGTAATGAAACAGGATGAAACAACAACATAAATTTCCTTATACTTTCATCAGGAAATAATGCAAATTTGGTGGAAGCTGTCAAAAAACTCAAGGAAAAACTTCTTTACTGTGAGGGTGACTGAGCACTGGCACAGGCTGCCCAGAGAGGCTGTGGAGTCTCCTTCTCTGGAGATGTTCAAAACCCGCCTGGACACTTTCCTGTGCAACCTGCTGTAGGGAACCTGCTTTGGCAGGGGATTTGGACTAGATGATCTCCTGAGGTCCCTTCCAACCCCCAACATTCTGTGATTCTGTGAAAATGTTCCAGCTTTTTATTACCTCTCCACTGCTACACTTGCACTGCTGACTACTCGCATAACTTCATGACTAAATGATGCTCAAATACGTTACTTTATCTAATATTAAATAAAAATGTACTACAAATAAATCAGTTTAACAACAGCCAGCTTAACATTTTTCTATAGCTTAACTAACACTTAATCTGATTTACCTGTTATTACTCTAAGAGGGGTTCTGTTACTTCTGAATCAAACCAGTCAGGAACTAAATACTAAAAAGCTCCCTGAAAAACAGTAATTTATTGTTGCTTGTTTTCTTCTGGGGGAAAAAAAAAAAAAAAGTATTGTTGAAAACTACCTACTATAAACTCTGGAGTTTATCTTTCACAGATTGCTTTTAAATACAAAACAAGTTGAAGATTACAACTCTGAACAATCTCCTAATTGTTACAGCCCATTTAAAAGCAATGCCAGCACCAAACATTTCACACATCAAAAATCTCATCTTTAGCTTTAACAGTAAAGAGCACCATCACAACAGAATGCTTACCTGCTCAAGTGAAAAAAAAAATCACATAAGGAAAAAGAAGTTACAGTTTCTAAACATTTTGATGAAAAGTAAATTCTTGTTAGCATTTACTAAAAAAGGTGTGTATTGGGTATAATGTTTTAATCTTCATGCAATAGGCCTTTTAAAACGTAAAAAAAGTCTCAAGGACTTAATTTAGTAGAGTCCAAGGTCTGCTTCAGTTAATTTGGGAGATAATAGGAAAGTGGACTTTTCTGTAGCAGCTCCTC